TATCAAAATTTTCCTTATAATGAAGGTAATAATGGACCACTCAACAAATATTATACCGTGGATCATGATCTACATTGCAAGATGTATCACTGACATATATGTTCATTTATATATATATATATATATATATATATATATATATATATATATATATATATATATATATATATATTGAAAGTTCATTTTATATATACTACACGTTAATTTTTAATATATTACTTAAATATGAACCTATGATACTTTAAAAATAAACATTCAGAATACTAAAATTAAACATTTATCATTGATGCATTTTACAATGTAGATCATGGTCCATAATATAAATTTTCCCATCCCAACATGGTACATGAAGAATTGCAAATTAATTAAAATTTTTCTAGTTTTAATGAAACATATTTTTTCTCACATTATATGTATCTTACACCAAATTAAACGTAACTTTATCTATCTCTAAATGAAATCGCAACTTTATACGACTCTCTTGCAATAATTTTCAAGCACATGCAAATTTAGTGACTATGAGGATTATACTCCATTATTTGAACATATTCTATTTTTTAAATAACAATATTAGCATATATATGAAGTAGAAAATTAGTAAATAAGAAAAAGCAAAAATGCAAAACCACTTTCTAAGAGGAAGCTTTTGAAAATTAGTATTAAAAAAAAAAAGCAAAAATACAAAAGCATCTTTTTATTTTAGTTTTTGAAATTTCCTTCAGGCTACTTTTGGTGACTAAAATTGGGAGAAGAAGAACTGAAGAAATATACATAATCGCCGCAAAAAGTGAAAGTAATACCAATTAATTGAATGGTGGTGAAAATGAGGAAGCTAGACTTTTTAAAAAAATAAAAAAATAAAAAAATTGTGGGGGATCTTCAATTCATTGTATATGTAAATGAGTTCTCAACTACTAAAACAATATTTGGAGCATGCGCCTGACCTTCAACTATACACGTAAATGCCTTAATGTTGGGTCCTTGTCTTATAATGTCATTTTCAAACAACATAAACGACCAGTATACCGCCTTCAATTCCAAGAATTTTAGTTTTTAATTTTTTTTTTAATAACTCAGATTTTTTTTTACTTTGATGACTATATTTTGAATTACATGAATCTATCCAAAACTCACAAATAGATAAATTAAACTAATTTAGTTACAAAATTAACATCAAACTATACACTTATGCCCACAAAAAAAGTTCATTCTAAACACAAACATCCAATATTTGTGGAAGAGATTGAACCCCATCCTGCATAAGAATTTTAGTTTTTTTAATTAGTATTTGAATGGTTGGAAAAACAGAAAATTTAAAAAGGGAGAGAAAATGAGAGCTAGATGGATACATATATTTTTATTTATGACATGGAATTAAACAACGTGTACCACTTTAATTTGTCATCCTTACCGATATGATGCCTGTCGTCCCCTTGCTAGGCGTTTTTATTTTTTTTTAATTTTTTTCCATAGATTTTTATGTGATTAACATCATTATTCAATTCAATTTGATGTGCTTGAAAGTCAAAGTAAGAGAATATTTATACGCTGAAACTGAAATTTTTGTTGCCACTGGTTGACAATAGTGTAATCATGGATTGTTGTCACATCAATACAAAAAAAAAAGTGTCAAAAATTTTGTTTAAGTAGTTAAGTATAATGAATATTGCAATTAAGTCAATTAATGAAAAAAGTTTAAATGAGATACTCTAAATCAAAAAATAGTGTAATTAGATCTTACTTTACATGATTTTCAAAAGAAAAGATCTTACCTTACATATTTTGCAGACTATTGTGAATGGTGACACTAGTTAAGCTAACATGTTGCTTCTTGATACTTAAGTGGACAAATTTTTATTTTATTTCAAATTTTTTTATTTTTTATTTTACAAAAAGAACAATGGTCGATGGATGCCTTCTCTCATTGAGTGGTGCTTGTCTAGATATGGATAACTATGGTTGTCTTATTTGTTGAGGAAAACAAACCAATAAATAATCACTGATTTTCATTCGACAAGAATGGGTGGAAATTTGTAAAAATTTAAAATTGGAAATGAAAAATTGTACACTTAGATGTAGGCATTAGGACACCATCAATGATAACTTTTTGAGTACGTAAGATTAGAATCTAATAATAAATGTATAATTTTACTGTTGTTGTAAAAATATATGTATATGAGATGATCATTATCCTATTTTCTATATTTTTTTTAGTACTACTGACTCTGTTACAATGTAGTACTTATTCATATATACTAGTATAAAGAGTTAATACCGTTTTCATTGAGGCTTGGACACATGAGTCACATCGTGCCACTTAACCACGTACAAAGTCATTGGCATATACTGTTTTCCATATAATTATAAATGAAATGTAATTGCCCGCATGAGCAACTTAACTGGTCATAGAGGTGAAAATTGAAAAGAATGATCAGGGATTGATTCTCCCCAGCAGCCCTCCTCCCAGGTGCTCTGGCCTTTCCTGCATTTTTTCTACCATTTGCCATTCCAATCCTATCCTAACTAAGATTTTTTATATACTTATAAATGCATCTTATCATAATGTATTTTATACCATCATGGACTGATCAATAATAAGATCATCCCCAAAATTATTGTTCTCATATGGTATCAGTAAACTAAACGATCAATGGCTACAAACCTACCAAAAAAAAAAAAAAAACTATTGTCGGCCAGTGACTCCATCTCCTCTTCTCGCATCATCTTCGATATTGTCTATCAACCATATCCCCGATAAATTCCCTATAAATAACCTATTAATTTATCTCCATTAAACATACTTCTCGCACGTTTCTGTGTTCGACTTCATTTATTAAGACTCCGAATGAGTGTTTTGTTGTACCTGCGCTCTGGATGAGTGTTCTGTTGTAGCCAATCCTGCGGCCAAAAATTTGGTCCGTCAGGATTCTTTTATTTTGTTTGTGGCAAAGTAGCATCAAAGGAACTACAAGGAAATTACATCTCTACGAAAGACCAAATGGCAGTCATCTTCACCAAGTTACTAACCACAACAAGGCTAAATGATATCTAATATAAGGGACACACTCAATGTTTTCTCTAGAGAACCTTAAACTTGAGAAGATGTATTAGGACTCTGTATTATAGGCACACTAAATTTCTTTTTTCCTCTCACTATATATTATTAGGAATATTAACATTTACCATTCATATCCTAACTGTGACACTTTGTATCTTTATTGATCAATAATAAGATCTTTCTCAAAACAATTATTTGGAAACTTCAGCTAAAAAGGCCGATTTACAAACTTTATCAACATGACTTGCCTCTCCGGTAAACAGTATGCTAGGTTCCTTGTTCTTATGCATTTATTTTTAGAATATATGCCATTGTTTATGTATAAATATTATACGTATATACGACTATGAGTTTTGATTGGAATCTTCAATTTTTATTTATGCGAAATGAGTATCCTTCCTTTTGATATATATATATATATATATATATATATATATATATATATATATATATATATATATATATATATTACGAATCATATACGAAGGAAGGCTTTAAGTAAAAAATATGGTTAAATCTCAACCATAGATCTAATCAAAAAAAAAAAAAAAAAAAAAAAAAAAAAAAAAAAAAAAAACAGGCGGTGATATTGTTGTAAATTTGAGTAGGTAAGTTTAGAAGTTCTTTTTCATTGAGTGCATATTTTTCCTTCTTCAAGTGCATATTTTTCTTCTTCGAGTCCATATATATTTTCCTTCTTCGAGTGCATATGTTCTGCCTCAGTACTTAATTAGTTTTTCCCTTTGAGTGCAAAAATGTAGCCTTCAAATGTACATTTTTGTGCATTCAAGTGCATACTTATGTGCCAATGTTTATTCTATATGTTTTGCATTCTTTTCAATAATCAATAACTAAATTTCTAATGAAGTTTGTGAGATTTACAAACGATTTGTATAAGTAATTCTTCAATAATACTTAAATTGAATAACTTTCTTTTTTGGTAATATAAATTGCTTCGGTTGCACATCTTTGTGCCTTCGAGTGCATAATTTTGGTATTCATGTGCACATTTTTGTATCTTCAAGTACATGTTTTTGTGCTTTCAAGTAGAATATTTTTGTTAATTCGAAGTGAGCAGTAGATCTGGATGAATTTAAGGTTGAGCGCGCGCGCGCGCGCGCACACACACAGTGTGTGTGTGTGTGTATGTGTATATATACATATATATATATATATATATATATATATATATATATATATATATATATATATATATATATATATATATATATATATATATATATATATATATAGGCGGGTTCAGGTGCGGCAGTGTCTTACGGTGCGGTTATTTCTTACGGTGCGGCAACACCAATAGTTCACCAAATATGCACCATCAACGTTAGGAAATACACCACACAAAACAGAGTAAACAGAGCCCTGCATCACCAAACACACACCATTAGGTGTGAGTAAAAATACCATACACTGTTCGGAAATACACCATTGGGGGTGGTGAGTTATATGGTGTGTTTTTTTTTAGTCTGTGGTGTATTTTGTGATGTTTTATTATATTTCATTGGGGTGTATTTTTATTACACTGTTGGTGCATATTGTTAACACTGTTGGTGTATTCTGGAATTTGACCGCACCGCCGCACCGTAAGACCCCGCCGCATATGAGCGCTCTTCTATATATATATATATATATATATATATATATATATATATATATATATATATATATATATATATATATATACTATACTAATAAGAGCCCAAGAGAGTTAGGCCTATAATGGGTAGAAAAAATGGCGGTCACAGATTTTAATCAAATGAATGGCTCAGATTAATTAAAAGATTGATAAGATTTAAATTTTACACTAAAGTTTCCTAAAATACCCACACACCGTTACTAATTCCGTTAAAATTTTAAGAATTGTCGTTAGTTCACCGTTAACTTACTCATTTTTTTTTTTTTTTGAACAGAACAACGGAATCCATTAATGATGAAAAAGTTTAGAAATACAAGCAGGTGGGATATTCTCCCACACCTGAGAGCCAGACATAGAGCCAGTCGCCCGAGCTAAAGCATGAGCTACATGGTTCGATGATCTCCTAATATGACAGACGGTAACGTCCCCAATATCACTAGCAAGTACACGGCATTGCGCAATAATAGTACCAACATACGAAAATTCAGAAAAACATGAATTGAAAGCGTTACAAAAATTAAGACAATCAGACTCGATAATAAAACTCCGGTGATGAAGGGTCTTTAACCAAGATAAAGCTTCCCGAACTGCAATGGTTTCAGCCATGAACGGATCTTGAATGCCATCAAAACGACCTCCTCGAGCTGCCACGAATCTACCCATGTGATCGCGTACCACCGCTCCAAAACCCGCCCCGGACGTGAAAAGAGCCGCATCGACGTTGCACTTTAGCTTGCCACTATTCGGAGGCTCCCAGGCCACTTCTGTATCAGCTTGCGTCAGGCCCCTCGGTTGTTTGCTGTAAGCTTCCGCCCAGAGATTCTGCAAATGGGAAACGTGGTTACGCATACGCACGATGGACGGTGCGGTATTCTGCCACACAAGGTTGTTTCTCGTTGTCCAAATGACATAAAAAACAGCCGCCATTTCCACAGCTTTGGTCGTACTCGACAAGCTCAGAATAGACTGCATAACATGTTGTATAGAAAGTCCCTGTAGGATGTCAGTTTGACACCAAAGATCTTTAGCATACCAGCATTCACCAAACAGATGGCTACTAGATTCATAAGGAGCTGAACATAAAGGGCAACCACCTCCAATCCACACATGCTTTAGTTTCAAGTTTTCGCGGACCGGGAGGATGTCACGCGCGCACCGCCACAGTAAGTGTTTGGTTCGAGGGGGAACCGGGAGAGACCACAACTTACTCCAAGCAGAAAAAGGGCCAGTGTAAGACGCATTCGCCTCACCACTTGTTAACAACTGATAACCCTGTTTCACAGAGTAGATGCCGCGTATATCACCTAGCCATCTCCAAGAATCTTTGAAATGTTTATTCGCCGGAGTTGCTAAAATTCTATGGATATCCTCTGTCTCGAAAAATTCTCGGAGGACTTGTACATCCCAATCCCCAGATGCCGTCATCAAACCACTCACGCGGGCCTCCCTTAGTTCTTCTACACATGGGGTAAGTAGTTTAGGATTGGAATTATCAGACAGCCAACCCCACCCCCAAACTTTCGAGTCCAAACCGTCACCAATACGTCGAGCCAAGCCCCGTCGAAGGACCTCCTGTCCAGCCACAATGCTACGCCACCGTTAACTTACTCATTGATTTCAATAAAAAAAAAAAAAAAAAATCTTAGGTTCGAACCTCATCCCAATCAAAGTTGGCATAATTAGTACTCTATTTTACTCTTATTAAATTATATAAATAATAATTTAGTAGCTACAACAAAAAATTATAGATATGCATTTCTTTAATTTAGAATTATGTGTCCACAATGCCTTTATTCAAAAAAAAAATTATTCATTATCAATAAATTAAATAAGAGAAATAATTGTACTAGTTATATTGTCTTTATTTTTCTACAATATAAAAATTCTTTATATTCAAATTTATTAATTGATTATATTCACTACATTGTCCTTACAATGTCTTAATTCAGTGAAAAAAAATTATTCATTATCAATAAATTAATTAAGAGAAATATTTTCATTAGTTATATTGTCTTTATTTTTTTCAAATGTAAAAATTTTTACATTCAAATTCATCAATTGATTATATTCACTACATTGTCTATTATCTTTTTTGTGCACTATTTTTCTAATTAAATATCAAAGTTATAATACAAAATAATGCTATATATTTATTTACCAAGTATTTTATTAATACCATGAAAAACTTAAAAAAAAAATATAATTAATTAAAGCCAACCATATTAACTACTTGAGAGATTTTGTGACAAAGAGAGTATTCAAATCACACAACAAATTGAAGTGAGAACTACCTTGCAATGTCCTTGTTTGACAATCAGTAGTTAGCGGATTTGACCAACGAATTTATTTAATTATTAACATTGGGTAGAAAAATGACCGTCAAATTATTAAATCAAATGAATGGTTCAAATTGTTCAGGTTTTAATTTTTTTTAATGTTTTTCTAATTTATCCTTAATTATATGATTATCCATTTAACTTTTTCGTTAATTCACCGTTAGTCTAATTCTAATATTAACGTCTAATATAGAATTATAATTACACCATTAGTCTAATTCTAATATTAACGTCTAATATAGAATTATAATTACACCATTAATCTAAGTCTAATATTAAAGTCTTAATAGAACTTAATCACAAATCCTAATGTCGAAATCTCCTCAAACAATATTAGTATATATTTAATATTTTATGCCCTAATTTTTATTTGTTCTCCCTTATGTCCCGTATTTGGTTTCAACCATACCTATACAATTATTTTATTGACAATTATAATCAATCTTGACTATATTATCTTGCATTTGTAAACTTAGAATTACCTATTTAACCCGCACGGGCTTAGCTCAATGGTTTAGTGGGCAGTATTTGGGAGAAGAGACCAAGGTTTGAACCTCGGCGGCGGCAGTGCGGGAATTATGTCCAAAGTGGGTAGATTCCTTGTTCGCACCGGCATTTGGTCCTGTCTGCTGAACCATTGAGTCACCGTGATTTACAACTTCCCACAATGCTCTGTCGGGTCAGAATGTGAGGGGCCCTTGGGGTTGGGGACTCAACCTTTGCGAGAAGAATTACCTATTTAAATACGCAAATTCAACCTTCAATTATCTAAGCATGAACAATTTCAATATAATCTTGCCTTAATATACTTTAAAGTACTTATTTAAAAAAAAAAACATTGGGCATTATCTCAATCGCGCAATGCGCGTAAAAAACTAGTATATATATATATATATATATATATATATATATATATATATATATATATATATATATATATATATATATATAGGAAGGTTCAGGTGCGGCGATGTCCTTAGGTGCGGCGGTGCGGCGTCACCAATAGTACAACAAATATACACCATCAACGTTAGGAAAATGCACCACAAAAACACATTCAAATTAGGTACGCATCACAAAAAACACACCATTAGGTGTGAGTAAAAACACCATACATTGTTCAGAAATACACCATTGGGGTGTGGTGAGTTATATGGTGTATTTTTTGAATATGTTGTGTATTTTTTGTATTTTTGTTGCATTTTATTGTGGTGTGTTTCCCTTACACTGTTGGTGCATGTTGTTAACACTGTTGGTGTATTATGAAATTCCGCCGCACCGCCGCACGGAAAGACTCCGCCGCATTTGAACTTTTTTCTATATATATATATATATATATATATATATATATATATATATATATATATATATATATATATATATATATATATATATATATATATAGGCGGGTTCAGGTGCGGCAGTGTCTTACGGTGCGGTTATTTCTTACGGTACGGCAACACCAATAGTTCACCAAATATGCACCATCAACGTTAGGAAATACACCACACAAAACAGAGTAAACAGAGCCCTGCATCACCAAACACACACCATTAGGTGTGAGTAAAAACACCATACACTGTTCGGAAATACACCATTGGGGGTGGTGAGTTATATGGTGTGTTTTTTTGAGTCTGTGGTGTATTTTGTGATGTTTTATTACATTTCATTGGGGTGTGTTTTTATTACACTGTTGGTGCATATTGTTAACACTGTTGGTGTATTCTGGAATTTGACCGCACCGCCGCACCGTAAGACCCTGCCGCATATGAGCGCTCTTCTATATATATATATATATATATATATATATATATATATATATATATATATATATATATATAAAAGATAATAATGAAAATATTTTAAATAATAGTGTAATAATAATAAAATTATGACACTTATTGTCTAATATCTCTCATAATAAGGATATAATATTATAGTTAGAATGAAGAGGAATTAATTAAATTTTAATAGTTCAGCACCTTGCGCTCAGATGATACCTATGTAGTTTCTCTTGAGGGAAGGTCACATGATCGAATTTCGGTGGTGAGTTGACTCTTTGAGCTGCAGTAATTTAAAAAATTATAAAACAAACACTACCTTGTAATAGATCAGAGTCAATAATATTTTTTTTTAAAAAGGATATAATAAGTAAAAATATAATGGAAAGCTCATCCCTTATTTTGAATGCTATGGAGAATAGTGCTTCAAAATAAATTATTTAAAAAAAAAAAGAAACTTATTGTCTTCTATCCAATAGAGCTTATATCTTATAGATATATTAAAATAAGGTATAAACTCATGACGGTAGGAATGATATTTAAAAATATTTGTGTATAGATAAATAGCGATAAGTTGTATTAATCGTTCTCCATATACAAGATTTAGTATGTCCCCTGCCTATAATAGGGGCATGGCTTTTATACTGGACAATAGCTACAAAACGTAACGGCTACACTAATAAGTACAACGGTCTTCTAATAATTGTGGCGCTCTCCTTTATAAGTGTGCTGGCCCTCCATAACCGTTGTTCTTTAATGAACCGGTGCTCTAATAAGTGCATTGACTCTGTGTTGAGTGCTCAGCTCCGGGCCATTACCATTATTTAACTGTCTTAATCGCCTTGACGGGTTATACTAAGAGTGTTTCGGATCGGATCTAATTTATCTAATTATCTCGTCAACTCTAAAAATCAAAAATTCACTTTTTATCGGTGATAATTATGATCAAATATGACTATTTTCATAAGGAACATTTTTTTAATATGTAAAATTTTACATAATAATACTGTGGTGGGGACAGGGGAGTGTAGTTTTTATTATTCATAAAAATAAATATCGACACAACAATTAAATTTAACACCAACAAATGCGGCATTTGTAATATCGTTATGTATATGATCATAAATTTTTTAAATATGTAATTATAATTGAACACCTGTTAAGCTGTGGCTTTCAGAGTCGTTGAAACGAGGCAGTACGTTTTAATCACTGGAGAAAGTCAATGTTTTACGGTTTTACCAGTGAATTAAAAAATCCACGCCAAGGGCCCAAGACGCTTGTAAAAGGAACCTACACAAATCACAACTTTTACAAACCTACACAAAATGGGCAAATTATGCCCTAAAAACGTGTTCACCAGGTGAACACGGGTCCAAACGGCGCCGTTTGTCGTTTTTACGTAAAAAAAAATCGCTAATGTGGTGGTAACAGCGCACGTTTGGTCAAATTATGAATTTTTTGTTATGAGAGTATGAATGTACTGTAAATTCATAATCTCGTAAGAGAAAATACATAATCGCATAAAAGAAAAATATTTATTAAATTATGAATTTTCTGTAAATTCATAATTTCATAACAGAAAATTCATAATCTCATAACAGAAAATTCATAATCTCATAACAAAAAATTCATAATTTATGAATGTTGAAGAAGCTTGCGCTACAGAGGAGCAACCATGGTTTCGGACGGGAATGTGTAGGCATGGTTCCAAAGTGAATGTGCAGGCATGGATTCATAATTTATGAATGTCCGAAATCATTGCTCACCTCAAATTAAAGTGAAACCGCAAAATGTGAAAATAAAGAAGAAAAATCACGCGATTAATTAAAGAAAAAAAAAAGAAAAGATAACGGTACACTAACACCGTTGGGACCGTGTTCACCGTTCCATGGCATAACAATTGACAAAAATCCTTCCCACACCTACACAAATCAGACCACTCAAAAAAAAAAAAAAAAAAAAAAGGTAATGCTTCCCACACCTACACAAATCACAACTTTTACCCCTCCTTAATTGAACATTGTTTTTCGAAATAGTGAAATACTAGTTAGAGGTGTTATTGTTATTGAGGTCGAATTTCTCATGCTCTAACTTGCCACATGTAGAATATTGAGGTTTAAGTGCTTATTTAAAAAATAAAAATATAAGAATAATATTTTCGACTACCATCATTCAAAATAAATATATTTCTTATGTGTACTCATGATTTTTAAACCATAAAAAGAAATCAAAATACTAACTACATTCAATATAATATCCATATTCAACTATTCAATTGTCAATATATAGCTAGTATCCATATTCAAATATTCAATATTCAAAAACCTTTAAGCATCTGACATTATTATAGTTGAAAGTGTTCCAAAATGGGGAATTGAATAAATTATTACATATTTATATATCAGCCCTTCTGCCATGCCTTTGTAACTTTGGGTCATTTGGGTAATTAACTTACAAACTTAAGGTTTAATTTGGTCACTTTAATTTTCTCACGTCTCTTCGTATCAAAAGATTACAAGTTCGATTAGTACTAATATTTTAATTTCTTGATCATACCTGTCACACATAGTCTTCCTAATAGTGACTAACAATGTTTAATTTATTCAGTGCACATACACCATCGAATAGTGACGACGAGTTTCTTCATTAGAAAAATTTAAAACAAAAAAAAAAAAAATACTCCACATGCATATATACGACGTACTATTAGATATTAATTAAGGACGTCTTCATTAAATGAAGAATATTTCACATTCCTAGAAAATTGAAGAAAACAATGGGAAAATGAAAATTATGTTCATATGAGTCTTTTATTTGTTCTCCATTTGAAAAAATAGAACAAAAAAAATTTAACTTCTCTTCTCAAACTTGGAAAACTATTCAAAATAATTTTTCATTTGGACAATAAGTTGGAAAATACAGGTGAATTTTCAGTAGTTTCTGTATCAAAATTTGAAACATTTTATTAGAATTATTGTACTCAACTTTTTAATTCAATAATCCACAAAAAAAAAAAAAAAAAAAAAAAAAAAAAAAAAAAAAAAACATGCAAAGTAGAAAACATTCGTTTTTTCCCCCTTACTTTGAGAGCATTGAAATATGTTGTGCAGACTGTTATGCAGGTATAAGAAAATAAAGTTGTGGGCGCAGGAATGGAGCCAGAAATTCGGTTGAGGGGGGCGAAGAAGTAGGGACGGATTCAGAAATTTTTTTCAGTAAAGGAGAAACATTAAAACAAAAGAGATAATTTTTTTAAAAAAATACATCTCATTATTAATATAAAAGAATGTATATATATGTGTGTGTATTAAATATTAGAAAGCTATTAAAAATGTGACTGTGTCGAAACCATAGGGAAGGAGTCAAAAAAAAAAAAAAACTAAAAAAAAAAAATTAAAACGGTTGAAGCCAACTATAGAACTATGTTAATGCCAAAATTTGAATCCCTATTGTTTATCATAACTTAACATATGATCAATCAACTCTTGTTGACATTCAATAGTTTTATTTTACTAATACTGACACATGTACTATATATACATATATACATACAAAAATTATATATGGGGTGGGGGTACGGTGAAGGGAGCAGCTGCCCCCCTTTGGCTCCATCCCTGTGTGGGCGCATACTACTAGCTATATATTAACTTTTTGTGGTAAGCACTTGATCTGACAAAATATTATATATTTATATACAAATTAGCACATTAAAAATAATATAATACAACATAATCTATGTAACAAAAGTTAATGATTTTTTTTTTTTTTAAAAAGTCTTCAATTTTTTTTTATTACAAATGAAGGGGAATACTCACATATACAATTTATGCTTACAACAAGGCTTGAACCCTAGACCTCCACATAGGAAAACAATCAAATATATACCAGTGGACCATAAGGTCCTTGGTAAAGTCTTCAATTTTTAAACTAAACTAAAATTGACTAAGATTGGATTAACATTTTAAAATTTTAATATTAAGTTGTCAACTTCAAAATATTTGATTATATATTTATCACAACATTAAAAATTTACATTTTTTTTTTTAAAAAAAAATCAATGATAATAATAATTGTGAGGCGGGCAAGGTCGTATACTCGTATATAGTACGCCGATTGATTTTCTTCCTTCTACACTTTAGTTTTCTATAGATAGAATATAGAGGTAGGATACACTATCCAAAATTTCTTGAAATAGAAAGTCCTAGTCTTATTCTCCACCTCCTCCCTCTCTCTTGAAACAAAACCCTTCATTTTGATGATTAAAACATACAGGGACTCATCATCATCAAGAAGAAGACATAGATAGAGAGATCAAAGTAATCAAATCATATATACTAAGCTAGCTAGCTTTCATGGATTCCAACAAAAACAGTTTAGAGCAGCAGGAGAATAATCTGCAGCTTTCTTCTGGAATAATGCTGCAACCGCCATCTTCTTCTTCACCGTCGTCGTCGTCTGCCGCAGCTCCGGCGTGGGGTTTCATGTAATTATTATAAGTTGTTACTTTTTGAGAATCGAAGTTGAATTTTTATCGGTTTTTTTTTTCCCGATAATTTAAGGTTGATTTAATTATATATGTGTCGGGATTCGATCAGAAACAAAGACGGTAACGGAGCTTATGACTTTGGTGAATTAGATCATGCCCTTCTCCTCTACCTTGATAATAATGCTCAACAACCCTCACTTTTCCAACACCATAAGCGTAAGCTAATTGCTCTCTCTTTCTCCTCAATAATCAAAAATACTAACTTTTTTTTTTTAATGTTTTAATTTAGCCATATATATATGGCCAGAATTGAAAAAAAAAAAAAAAAAAAATCTGTTTTAGCTTATAGCTTGTACTTTCTCCAGTATGTATGTAGCTGTATACAGTTTGACTAAGCTAGAGACTCCCCATTCATATGAGAAAAATGTTTATATTTATATGTTGGAAAATCATGTCTAATTACGTTATTTTTGCAGAGAATTCAGAGTTGAAACCACATACTCTGGACATTTTTCCTTCCAAACCCATGAATATCGGTTCTTCATCGGCAAAGGTATTTTATATATTATGTCTGATCTATCATCTGTATATAGTACAGAAATTTAATGTTTATGTTTTATTTAATTAGAATTGATTTTTAATTTTTGGGGTTTGCTATACATATATAGCCAAATTCTGGATCATCGTCTGAGCCGTCAAAACCAAAAAGCGACGGCGGCGTTAACGTTGTTGCTTCTGAATCTACTTCTGAACCACTCAAACTTCCTAAGGTACAACATATATTCTCAATTAATTGATTATTATCGCACTTTAATTAAGGTTATCTTTTTCTTATTAAGAAATGATGAAGTTCATTATATTCGCACTTCACTTTCAACCCAACTCCCATTATTATTTTACAAATTAAGGTTTATTGTGAGACTTATAAACAACGTTCGAATTCAACATAATCGGGTACGTGATGTGAGACAATATAATGAGAGTATTTGGTAAATAATTGTTAGCTCAGTGGGTTTGACTAGTTGTCTAGTTGATTGATAAATTAGTTGTTAGCTAATAGCTGATTACATGCAAAATAATTTCTCAAAAAGTTTATCGAAAAGAACAGTCTTTTCAATTTTAGCGTTTTAGAATAATAAGTTGTTAAAAAAAAACTGTAGTAATTAATCAAATACTTATATTGATTGTTTAACTAAGTCAAACAGCTAATAGTGGTCAAATAAGTTAAAATTGACTGATAATAAGCTAACTATATTACCAAAGAGGACCTTTATATATTTGTGAATTAATATATATATGCAGTGTGAAGAAAGCCATGCGGGTTCGACTTCAGGAGCTCAGCAAGATTGTGCAAAAACTCTTGATCCTAAGGTGATCATTTGATGACTACATATCTCTATCATTAATTAGTCAAATTAAATCGGATGATTAATTAAAATTTAGTTTGGTTGAATATTATTATGAGTTTGGATTACATTTTAATACAGGCATTAAGGAGACTTGCTCAAAATAGGGAGGCAGCAAGGAAAAGCAGACTTAGAAAAAAGGCATCATCCATCTGATCAATTATTTATTAGTCATCATGTGATCATTATTACCTAATTATGGAAACAATATATAATTACTGCAGGCATATGTTCAGCAGCTGGAATCATGTAGGATGAAGCTCACTCAACTAGAGCAAGAAATACAACGAGCTTGGGCTCAAGTAATATAATCTCAGTCCTTTCAGGGACTTTTTACCGTACTAATAATACTCGATATAATTATATATATCATACTGGTTTATTGGGTATAGTATTATCAGTACCAATACTAATAGTATTGTTGGTACAATTAATACTACTAAAAATTTTGAAATTTCCGACCACCTGAAAGTAATCTTAAATCAAGTCGAAAGCCTTGTTTGACCACTTTTGGTATCCGGAAAAACCCTTGTTGCTATTTCCGACCACTTTTTACTTTCAACTTGATTTAAGATCACTTTCAGGTGGTCGAAAATTCAATAATTTTCAGTAGTGTAAACATATTGTATTTAGTTATATATGTTATTATTGATGCAATAGAAAAAAAAAAAAAAAAAAAAAAAAAAACCCTTACTATTATTCCATATTCTTAATTTAATTACCGCTTAAATGTGTGTTTAGGGAATTTATTTTGGTGGAAATTCCAATTTAGGAGGAGAACAAGGCCATCCACTTTCTGTGGGCAACATAAGCTCAGGTACAAAATTTCAGCCTCTAGTAACAAATTCAAGTTGCTATGCACAATGGCATCTAATTCATATAATATAATATGATCAATATATAATAGTACGTACTAAAAGTGCTTGAATTGTAGATTAATTTGACGTAGACCGGCCAACTACTATGTAGTGTGATAACACCCTAGCCCTGTTATCATTCCAAATAGGTTATTCGCATTTATTGTTTGGACAAAAAAAAAAGATTGAGAAGGGATCGAACCGCAGCGGTACAGACATTGATTCTTTGAAAAAAAATTGAGAAAGTATAAAATAAATATTACATTGTAAAAGATCACGAGTCCATGTTATTTGCTCATTTTTGGCTGTGGTAGAAATTCTTTTTGAGTGTAGCTCAGGGTTTCTACAGCCCGACACATTCATGTATATATATATACAGTACACATGAACATATATAAGAAATTGGTAATTATTATGGACAACTCAAATTAAGTTGATTGGGTTATTTACTTAGTAAACATAATCTTACAAGTTCTGACTTTCAACTGGAGCAAAAAATTGTAAATTATTAGTGAGTGTAATTTAATTTAATGTACATTATTGATTAGATGCTGCAATTTTTGACCTGGAGTACACTCGGTGGCTGGAAGAGCACCACCGGCTGTTGACGGAGCTGCGGAGTGCAGTGGAGGAGCAGTTGCCGGAGAACGATATGAGGATGTACGTGGACAGTATTGTGGCACATTTTGACGAGATAATCAACCTCAAGAGCATGTTAGCCAAATCCGACGTCTTCCATATCTTTTCCGGCATGTGGAAGACTCCGGCGGAGCGCTGCTTCATGTGGGTGGGCGGTTTCCGGCCATCCGACCTTCTCAAGGTACATATATTCAACAAACCCTAGCTACCTATATACTGTTCAAATGAAAAGTAACTCTCCAAAAATATAATAGGATTAATCGCCTAGCACTTACCACCCTAGCCAAAAGTTATAGCTAATTTTTTTTTGAATGTTACTAACTCTATTACATTGTAATATCTAACATACTTTTTCAACCTAATGAAGTACAAAGAGTCAACAACACTTCTACTGAGGCTCAATCTCATGACCTCCCACATTGGAGAGGTCACTACATGCCATCTGAGCACAAGGTACTTGACAGTTATAACTAGTTAATTTTTCTTATAGACCGTCATTACATTTTCGAGACAGATAAGTGTGAATCAGATGGAAGGTGTGACGGAGCAGCAGCTAGTAGGGTTATATGGACTGCAACAATCTACACAAGAAGCAGAAGAAGCTATATCAAGAAGCTTGGAAGCTCTGAATCAGTCTCTCTCAGATTCATTGTCCTCTGATACGCTTAGCTTTTCTTCCCACATGCATATGGGCGACTACATGGCTCAAATGGCTGCCGCCATGGCCAAACTCTCCACCCTCGAGGCTTTCCTTCAACAGGTACGCATACTTAACCTAGCTATTATTATATCTATATACCAAACACGAAAATCACAACTAAAATGATTCTTGCCAACACCCTCTGATCTGAAACTCGTTTCACTGAGTCTTTTTAGTGCGATTTACTTTGATTTGGTCCAACAAGGATGTCATAATTGTGGATTGATTTTTGCATGAGTTTGAGGAGAGAAGTCACAGCAGCAGGTGGGCACGGAATTGTATGTAGAAATGGAGATATGATTCCAATGAAATAGGGAATTGAATTGAATTGAAGGGGAAATTAAAGAAACACATATCCCTATATCCCTATCATCATCAGCCATGCATGTCTGTCTGTCTGTCTGTCATGCAACCTTAATTTCTGTGCACATAATTCTCATGATGTCATGCAACATCGTCACTGCTTGACTTCCATGCACTTGCGGGCACAGCCTTTAATATCATCCATCCCCCTCATTTTTACTTTTTAGATTAATAACTGTGTAATATATGGAACAAATTAATTAATTACATTTTTTTTAATTAGAGTGGAAAATATGTATTTTGTATTATTGTTTTTTCAGGCTGATAATTTGAGGCAGCAAACAGTGCATAGAGTCCATGAGATTCTGTCGCCCCGTCAAGCTGCAAGGTGTTTTCTGGGCATTGCTGACTACTTCCATCGTCTCCGAGCTCTCAGCTCTCTCTGGCTAACTCGCCCTAGGCAGGATTAATGAATCATATATATCATATTAGATAGATACCTTACCTTAGCTTGTACATATAGAAAGAAGCTAGCTAATTAATTAAGATTAATTAGTCAAATTTCAGGCTGATTATCAAATATTATCTAGGAGTACTTATCATCTACATATCTACATATCTCTCTATAAGTGTGTGTTTAATTAGATATACATGTCGTGTTTGTGGGCATATTTATATTGATGCATGCAAGGGGATTCACAATGGAGGCAGTGGGGCCGCTGCCCCCCTCCTTCCATGCCATCCCCTTTATATTGACTCTTTATATATATAGACTAAACGTGTAGAAATATTAAATGTACAAAAAGTAAATCAAAGGATGAGTTAGCTTAGATGGTTAGGTTTATGTTAGTGTGTCAAGTGTCTTGGGTTTCAATTTTGAGGGCATTGATTTTTTAAATTTTGTTTTTTTTTTTTTTTTTTGTTTTTTTGACTTTTTTGAATATTAATTAATAGTGTGACTATAATTGTGATTTATAAGATTAATTTTTAGTTCTTATTAGATTATTTATATGCATTGAGGTTTTCTTTTAGATATTAATAGTGGGATGAGTAATTTATAATGTAATTTCTATTTCAACTATGTTTTTGTTTTGAATTTTTATCGCGTTTTAGTGTTTTTTATTTTTTATTTTTTATCTCTAATCAACAATATTTATGACTCGGTCTCTAAATGTTTCATTTTATTTTTCTTTCGCTCCCACTGAAGAAAATTTCTAAATCTGCCCTGATGCATGCATTTATACATATACAAAGTTTTTTTTTTTTTTGTTAGTAGACTGTAGCTAGACACAATATATATATATATATATATATATATATATATATATATATATTTCTACTAACCATACCGGTGTAAGTGTTCATAAATCTTTATACCATAGACTATATATGGTGAACCTAACATAAGATTCATTTTAAATATGTTATTGGTTCTTTGTATTTCAGTAGGTTGAGAAAGTATATGAACAGATACTACAATGTAATAGAGCTAGTAACTTTAAAAAAAAAAAAAACCATTAAAAGTTTTTTTTTTACTAAATATTTATTATTTGGTATACTATCAAATAATAGCATTCAGTACACAAAAAAGGAGCATTCATTATATTAAAAATAAATATTTATTCGCAATATAGACCATAGTACATAGTATAATTTGCCTGTTTTCATTGGGGAATGTAGCCGGTCACTAGAGAAACGCAAATTATGTTGTGGACACGAGTCCAAAACGATGTCGTTTTCAAGGAAAACACGGCATTTCAGTTATAAAAAAAATTGATTTTGTTTCGCCGTTAACGGCGTTATTCGTTTGTGGAATTATGAATGTACAGTTATGGAATTATGAATGTAAGTTATGGAATTATGAACATAGAGCTCTAACATTATGAATTTACAATTATGAACATATAGTGATAAAATTATGAACATAGAGCTTTAAAATTGTGAACATAGAGCTTCAAAAATTATGAATTTACAGTTATTGAATTATGAATGTACAGTTACGGAATTATGAATGTACAGTTATGGAAGTATGAATGCATAGTTATGCAATTCTGAATGTATAGTTATGGAATTATGAACACAGAGCTCTGAAATTATGAACTTACAATTATGAACATATAGTAATAAAATTATGAACATATGCTCCTATAACAAAGCGGTCTGAAATTTAAAAAAAAAAAAATGTTAGAAGATAATGGTGCCACTAACAGCACCGTTACCGTGTCCACAATGCATGCTGGACACGGGTCCATAGCATTGTTAGAGAAAAGTGTAAATCATGAGTGAAAGCTGTAGGCCCAAATAGGCAAATCCTTTGGTTTGGGCAATCCTTAATTTGAAAGCCCGTTTAATAATTCCTTAAAAATAAAACCTTTTTACTAAAGCCCGTAAAGATATATTTATCCATGTAATATTTCGTTTATCGTGCACAATTTATTCGGCGGTTGCCCAGGTAGGCTATGAGTACAAAAATAATTTATTGGATTAATGTAACAACTAGTTCCGCTGTAGCACTGGCTAAATCTCAAATTGCATATTGATTCCGGGTTCGAATCCCGGCAGCGGAATAATTTTTTCTATTCTAATTTTCCTCTTCTCCGTTTTCCAATAACAAGAATTCTCCTCTAAGATTTTGTTCCACGTATTGCCACGTTTCGTTCTCAATTTTAAAAATAAGTAAGGAGTGCTGTAAAGATAGAACATTACCAATTTATGGTGGATCTAGTCTAATAAAATTATCAAATATACTACATTTCAATAACTTCAAAATGTATTTTTTTTTTTAAACATGTGTTCAATTTCTACTAAACAAATCAAATTATATAATTAAAAAAAGAGCACGAAAACATAATAGAAACTTTTTTTGAGTACTATCAACTCTATTTTGATTCTATGACCTTCCCTCAAGGAGAATCATAAAGGTACCAATTGAGTACAAGGTGCTTGGCATATAAACTTCAAAATACAAGTTTTGATTGAATTATTTTAGATTTATTATCTTCTTTAAGATTCAAACTGAATAAAATCAACAAATTTCGTTGGTCTCTAATCTCCAGATGATTAGTCTTGTTTTCACTTGACATTTGGATGACATCATGGTTATTGGTTAGTCCAGAGTAGGGACGGAGTCAGAAATTCGATTGGGGGGGGGGGGGTGGGGGGGGGGGAGCGAAACAGTAGTGACGGATTTAGAAATTTTTTTCAGTAAAAGCGAAACATTAGAACAAAAGAAATAATTTTTAAAAAAATTAAATTACCTAAGAAATATAGTTATAAATATTGGCGAAAAATAAAACACATAAAAACTTTTTAAAAATATTCATAACAAAAAAATTAATGTGTGTGTGCTATGTCAATGTCAAAGAATTTGAACCCTTGACCTTTACTATTACCAAACACATGATCTACCTACTAATCTAACTCATTTCTTATTAATATTTAATAACTTTTTTATACTAATACTAAAACCTGTACTATATATACATATATACATACAAATATTATATATATATAGGGTGGGGTGGAAATGTGGGTGTGGGATGAGGGGACAGCTGTCCCCCTTTGGCCCCGTTCACTGGACTCTAGCTAGCTTGAGCTTTGTTTTCATCCCAATTTGTTATTTATTTTGACATTTGGATGACACCATGGTTAATTATATTGTGCATCAGGACGCACAATGCATTGTACGTCATGGCCCAAAATGATATTGTTTTGTAATTTATAATATATTTTGTATTTTAACCTTATTATTTATGACTGTTTGATATTTCATAATTGATATTTCTAACCGTCATTTAAACTTCGCCCCCCACTTAAGTATTTTTTTGATAGATTAAACGATAGTTAGAGTTCACTTTCAAAGTGTGAGAATATTCAATCGTTATATCGTGCACCAGGGCAAACAATGCATTGTGCGTCCCGTCCTGCCCAAAACGACATCATTTTGTTAAGTTGTGTGGGGTGTTAACGCGATGGACACCGTTTTATGTGTATTATGTTAAGAGTTAAGAGTTTATGTGTTTATGTTAAGAGTTTATGTGTATTATGTTAAAAGTTAAGAGTTTATGTGTATTATGTTAAGAGTTAAGAGTTTATGTGCATTATGTTAAGAGTTAAGAGTTTATATGTTTAATTATGTTAAGAGTTTATGTGTATTATGTTAAGAGTTAAGAGTTTATATGTTTAATTATGTTAAGAGTTTATGTGTATTATATATTAAGAGTTTATGCGTATTATATTAGGAGTTTATGTTTATTCTATTATACAATTATGTACATTCGAAACATGAATTTTTTTTAGGAGTTCACCGCAAAAACGGGAAACAAAATTTTTAAAAATAAAAATACAAAACCACGTCATTTAGGGCTAGCATTGTGCGCCCTAATGCACGATATAATTAACCATGTTGTCATCCAAATGTCAAAATAAATAACAAATTGGGATGAAAACAAAGCTCAAGCTAGCTAGAGTCCTGTGAACTAACCAATAACCATGTTGTCATCCAAATGTCAAGTGAAAACAAGACTAATCATCTGGAGATTAGAGACCAAAGAAATTTGTTGATTTTATTTAGTTTGAATCTTAAAGAAGATAATAAATCTAAAATAATTCAGTATTTTGAAGTTTATATTCCAAGTACCTTATGCTCAATTGATACATTTGTGATTCTTCTTGAGGGAAGTCACAGAATTAAAAAAAAAAAAAAAATAGCATTTTGAAGTTATTGAAATGTAGTATATTTGATGATTTTATTAGACTAAATCCACCATAAATTGAATAATCGAGGAGTATCTTAGACAAATGAGTACAAGAAATTAAATAACAGAAGACTGAGTTACAAGACTGCTTTGCCTTGAGTCAAGACTCAGACTAGAGTTCAGTGAATTATTGGTAATGTTCTATCTTTACAGCACCCCTTATTTATCTTTAATACGTGGAATAAAATCTTAGAGGAGAATTCTTGTTATTGAAAAACGGAGAAGAGAAAAATTAGAATAATAAACAATTTTCCGCTGCCGGGATTCGAACCCGGATTCAATTAACAATTTGAAGGTTAGCCAATGCTACAGCGGAACTTGTTGTTACACTAATCCAATAAATTGTTTTTGTACGCAATAACCTACCCAGGCAACCGCCGAATAAATTGTGCCCGATAAACGGAATATTACATGGATAAATATATCTTTACGGGCTTTAGAACCACAAATGTATCAATTGAGCATAAGGTACTTGGCATATAAACTTCAAAATACAAGTTTTGATTGAATTATTTTAGATTTATTATCTTCTTTAAGATTCAAACTAAATAAAATCAACAAATTTATTTGGTCCCAGATGATTAGTCTTGTTTTCACTTGACATTTGGATGACACCATGGTTATTGGTTAGTTCACAGGACTCTAGCTAGCTTGAGCTTTGTTTTCATCCCAATTTGTTATTTATTTCGACTTTTGGATGACACCATGGTTAATTATATTGTGCATCAGGATGCACAATGCATTGTACGTCATGGCCCAAAACGATGTTGTTTTGTATCTATTTTCTAAAAATTTATGTAAAAAGTTTTAGACGAAAAAAAAATATGATTTATGGCTCTAAATATCACTTATTAAAGATCATGGTGCGGCATGAATAATCAGGAATGGTTCATGGTGCGGGATGACACTTTAGCCTTTTATACCTGAAAACACATAATTTTATAATTGAAAATTTCCATGTTTTGAATGTACAGAATTATATAATAGAAAACACAAAATTTTATACCTGAAAATACATAATCTTTTTTTAAAAGGATAAAAATCCCCTGTTTCGAATGTACAAAATTTTATAATTAAAAACATAAAATTTTATATCTGAAAACATAAAATTTTATAACTGAATACACATATATTTTCATCGCGTTAATTCTCCACACAAATTAACAAAACGACGTCGTTTTTGGAGACGTGGGGCGCACATTGCTATGTGCGCCTTCGTGCACGGTATAACGATTGGGCAAATCCTTTGGTTTGGGCCATCTTTAATTTGATTCAATTAATGAAAGCCCGTTTAATAATTCCTTAAAAATAAAACCTTTTTACTTAAAGCCTGTAAAGATATATGAGTTAATACCTAAAATCGTACTCGATTATAGTGATTTTTCTCAATTTCGTCATAAACGACTTTGGTGACCTAATATCGTCCCAGACTTTTGTGTTTCGCTCAATTTAGTCCCAGACTTTTGTATTTTTGCTCAATTTAGTCCCTCATTTGTTATTCTGTCCATTTGGTGTTAAATAAATAGACAATTCAGTAATTTTAATATTGGCATCTCTTTACTCATAGACATGTAAACTGCGAAATCCCTTTTTTTTTTACGAATTACTCCCAGAATTACTCCTAAAACTGCGAATATAAAATTTGATTTGCAGGTCCGGGAGTAATTCTGGGTGTAATTCGTACAAGAAAGAGGAATTTCGCACTTCACAAGTTGAAAGTAAAGAGAGATCAATATTGACATTTTTGAATTGTCCCTTTATTTAACACCAATTTGACGGAATAACAAATGGAGGACTAAATTGAGCGAAACACAAAAGTCTGGGACGATATTAGGTCACCAAAGTCGTTTAGGACGAAATTGAGAAAAACCACTATAGTCGAGGACCATTTTGGGTATTAAATTCAATATTCCGTTTATCGTGCACAATTTATTCGGCGGTTGCCTAGGTAGGCTATTGATTACAAAAACAATTTATTTGATTAATGTAACAGCAAGTTCCGCTGTAGCACTGGCTAAATCTCAAATTTCAGATTGAATCCGGGTTCGAACCCCGGCAGCGGAATACGAATTATTTCTTTTCTAATTTTCCTCTTCTCCGTTTTCCAATAACAAGAATTATCGTTATAACGTGCACTAGGGCGCCCAATCCCGTTAATGATTTAAGCGGGGCACACAATGCATTATCACTATAGTAAGCTTTAATGATGCTTTAGAGTGTGGTAAAATTGAAGGCAGAAAATTAGTATTCTTTCAATAACAGAAACAGAGAATTATTGGAAATACATTAGTAGAAATGGGAATTAATAGAAAACATTAATTAGTAACTTTGCTTTATTTTTTGTATCACAGCATGCTATCAGCTCGAGCTGGCAATCTCCGGAAGAAATTGATGGGTGCGGAAGGCAACTTGCTCCTGAATTTGGGGTGCCTTAGATAATAGAAGCCTGCAACAAGAGCTATCATTTTGAAAGGTGTGACATAAAGAATTATTGCTGTAAAAAGGCAGAAAACTATGAAGAGGCTGGAAGCTCTTGGATCTCTCCAACTCAGCAGAGACTGGAATCTCTCCCCTTGAGTTGCAATGTCCCCAACAACAGTCTGCACTCTTCCCGCCACGCTTCGAAGTCTATCATATCTCATCTTCACTGTAAACTCTTGCTTTGTCGTCGGGAACGTGTCAAACTCTTCATCCAGTTCATCATTATTAGCTGCTTCTGCCCAGGATAACTTCGTGTCCATATGTGGAGGGTGTCTTGGCCTGAACCGGAAGTTCCATATCCCTATAAGGAACATGTAGAGGAAGATGGTAGGGAGTATGAGTTCTGGGTAGCATATGAGTATGCAAAAGAGGACATGGACTAGTATAGTGGTGACTGGGTTCTTCCATTTGCAAACTTCCTCCAGCCATTTGCTCATGGAGATGGCGCCTGAGAAGAGCGAAACAATTCTGAAAAAGTTGGCTTTGCTTCTTCTCATGCTCCACATGTGGGAATCTACATCCAGCATGTATTCCACAACTTCTCTTCCAAGAGGTGGCTCAGCTCTTGCAAGTCTCACAGCTACAATGTTCATTGCCTGGTACCTTAAACTGTCCAATTGGTTGACAGTGAAGGGGTGAAGATAATGCATTTTTGGGAGCAAGGGGTGACCGTAGAGATAGATTATATGGGCGAGAGATAAACAAGTGAACCGGAATGCCAATTGGAGTTCACCCATTTTTTTAAGCCCAGATGGTTGCAGGACTAGAAGAGGGTAAGCCATGGTGTAAATCCTATCCATTTCTAGAGTTGATAATCTAATCCTTACCTTTCCTATCCTTGAGTCCTTTCCTGGTTTATCACTTCCTCCTAGATGGCAGTTATCAAAAACTCCCAATGTGATCACTGTACTCGGGTCGTATACCTCCCATGTGTACTGCTCATTCCACTTTGGACTCAGGCTATCGAGTATCGTTCTTGTTCTCACCCACTTCAGCCCATATTTTGCCACACAATAGGCATCTGTCGTTTTTCGCCCATCTTTAGTTTTCATCCCTTGAACCCCCTGGGCATTCAGAATTCCAACTTCAAGTATTCCAACTGGCTGCTTCCACAGTTGTCTAGCAGTTGGCCTTACATCACTTATGTACATTGTTGATTCATCTAAGACATGGTACCCACCTTCAAGACAACCTCTGAGGTGTAGTCTTGTTGAGAACTTTAGTTCGTGTCTCTTATCTCCCTCGAGGACTCCAAATCCATATTTTTCCAAGTTGAACCAGCGAGAATGAACTGTTCGGTGGTCTAATCGCTTCTCGAATGTGTTGAGGGGCAACGTTAGTCTCCCCACTTGCTCGTCTTTCGAAGAGGTCTTGTTTTCAATTGTGAGTACGAGTTGCTCTTCGAAGGGCTCGGCTGCTACGAAGAGCAGATCTTCGTTCCAGAATGGATTGGTTGTTTTGGTTGGGGATACCTTAGTCTTTAGTATCTGGTTCCCAACTTGAGCCTTCACAAAAGGCTGTGGAGGTTGGGTTTTGTCCTCGGGTTCTACATCTTGAGCTTCGATCACGTTGATTCTCAGGTACCATAGCTTTGGAGAAACATACACCTTTGATCTAACACTGTAAACACCTTCTCCATGAACTGAAGCAGCATCTGCATGCCATGCATCTGCAAATGCTTCATCAGCTTGTGTCCCCATCCAAACTGCTAGCATGACTTCGCCTTTTACCTTGCTTTCTCCACGACGGTTTTCTAGTCTGTACCACTGAGGCGCCAGAGGGCTATCGGGTGGCACCCTTGTAGGGACTTCATTCATGTCAAACACCACCTTCCCTAAATAATCATCTCTTGCTACCATCTCTTTGTCCCTCACAAGGACTTCAAGTACTGAAGATTGTATTTTGTCTTTTGAGAATGCAAAGACTTGTTTCCATTCAGGGTTTATTCTTTTCTCAAAGTGCTTTGTCTTGCCCTTGTAGTTTCCAAGCTTCACCTCCACATAAGGATCACAGCTTGCTGTGACAGGGTTTAAAGGCAGGTCTCTTGCCTTCTCCACACGAACGTAAAGAAAGTGCATCTGCTCGACAAGATCATAGGTGCTTGTCACTCTGTCACTCGTAAGCCACCCTCCTCCTCCCCGAATCCCTCCGTGTGGCCACCGTTCCCCAAGTTGGGGCTTTGTCTCTTTCGCTTTGTAGTCATCTTGGTTGCTCATTCTTGAATCCGCTAGCTTGCTGTTGTATTGGAATTCAATGGAAGCTAGCTCAACAGCATCAGCAATCTGGCAAGCTAGAATGTTTCAGATGATGAGGTGATTTATTCAAAGTTGAACAAATTTGGAGCAGTGAAAATGGAGGGGTACAAAGTTCATACCTTTGACTGTATTTGGTTATATAGACTTCACTTCTTGAAGCTTCAATTGTGGCATTATTCCCTGCTACAAAAGAAAAGCTGCGGGCCGGGCACCTTTCGAGAATCAATTCAGATGCCTCTCTCAACATCTTTCTCTCTTCTCTGAGTTTTGAAGTCTTCTTTAAACACCTGTCAAGTGAGTGCTTCATTCAGCCTTTTGAGAAATCTTAATTTGACAATCATGAAGTGAATAAAGCCAAGATGTTTAGCACCCTCAGTTCAGATTATGATTGTCAAAAGAACATTAAAGCATGCTAAAAGGAAACCACAGCCTAGAGAGGGCATCTGCTTTGTTAAAATGCAATAGTCCAAGGCATTTGGGGCTGTAGATTAACATCATCTCCATACTAGAATATTTCTAGCTTTTAAAGATTCTGGGCTTAGCATAGTGGCAAACTGCATCATTCTGCTTTATTCTTCATTCCTAATATACAATATATTGCTAGTCATTTCACTGAAATAGATTGGTTGATTATATTGCAGGTTTGATTTCATGATCAGAGGCTAAAGAATTGTTAGTAATGGTGCTGAGATTAAAGAAGAGAAAAGGGAAAGTAGTGAGTGTAGAAAGGTTATGGATGGGATGCTCAGATCATGCTGCAAAAAAAGAAAGAAAGAAAATAAAGAAAAAGATGCTTTTATCCTTTATTCTCCATCTTTACTTATTCTCCTTTTAACACTTTGTCCTTTGTCAATTGTCAATCCACCCTGCTTTCCCTGCCTAACACAATTTTGTAACCTACTCATACGTTATTGGACTTGTTCAATTACCGGAAAATTTTTGTTATTTACTCCCCCAAAAAAAAACAATAAAAATTGTTAGTAAAGGTAATATTTTTAAAAACTTGGTTTATTTGGTTCAATTTGGCATACCTCTTTGGATATTTGAAACTAATTGCGAAAACATTCATGCGTTTTTTGTCAAAAAAATATATATATATATTGTTCATTTAATCCAGAATTACCATTCAACCAAATTAGTTAAAGTGGCATAGAAATTGAACTAGTTTATGATGGTAGATATGAACTCAAAAATACTGTCAAGGAAATGAGACCAACAAGTAATACAATGAACAAAGTGTAGAACAATTGTTATAGTATGCACCATGGTCTATATTGTATTGTAGATTTTGATCTAAAAATTATGTATTTGCAATTGACATATTTTATATCAGTAGTTCACAATTTATGTGTTGGTGAATAAATAATAAATTGAAGACACATAACATATTAATTACCGACACATAACATAGTAACTAGAGACATATAATATGTTAACTGTAGACACATAATATATTGTTAAAATATTATGTATCTGCAATTAACGTATTATGTGTCTGTAGTTAACATGTTATGTGCAGGGTTGTAAAAACCGGTCTAGGCGCCCGCCTAGGCGCTAGGCGCCTCTAGACCGTGGCGATTTCCCCCCTAGGCGCCCGCCTAGTGCCTAACTCGGCCGATTTGGCCGCCTAGCGTCTAAGTTAGTCGAGTTAACTCGTCCATTTCGGTCGAGTTAACCCGATCGGCTCGACCTATTTTTTTATTATATATGTGTGTGTGCGCGCGCGCTAGGAGTGGAAATGGGCCGAGCCAAGCCGAGCTTTGAAAGTTAGGCCTGAGCCTGTTACGAAAATTTAAAGCCTAGGCCCGGGCCTGAGCCTGTATGTAGGCTTTTTGTTAGGCTCAAGCCTGAGCCTACATTTAGCATGGCCTGAAGCATTTTTAAAAGCCTGTTTAATATTTATGTCATTAAAAATGCTTCAAAGTAAGTCCTACCTTGAATAGTTTATAGGCCTGACCTGTTTAGTTTAATAGGCTTTGAAATTGGCTCAAGCCTGGCCTTTTTACTAAACGAGCTAGGCCTAACTAGGCTTTAAGCCTATTCCCACCCCTAGCAATCGTTATATCCTACACCACGGCGCACATAGCACTGTGCGCCGCGCGCCTCCCAAAACGACGTCGTTTTGGGGTAGTGTTGGGAGCCGCAGTAGGAAGTTGCTGAGATTATGTGTATTTGTTCACAACGTTATGTGTATTTGTTCACAACGTTATGTATATTGGTTCATACAGTTATGTGTATTTTTTAACAATTATGTACATTCTTTTTATACAATTATGTACATCCGAATCAGAAAATTTGTGTGTATTATGTTAAGAGTTGATGTGTATTATGTTAAAAGTTTATGTTTATTATGTATTATATTAGATTATGTGTATTATCTTTTAAAAAGAGTATGTATATTTTGTTATATAATTATGTACATTCATGTATAACATTATGTGTATTCTAGTATAACATTATGTACATTCTTGAACAGCGGGTTTTTTTTAAAGAAAAAACTACTGCCATTCACTGGGGCGGGAAATTTAAAAAAATAATAATAATAATTAAAACGACGTCGTTTTACATCTGGGCGCATAGTGCAACGCGCGCCGTGGTGTAGGATATAAATTGCCCACCCCTAGTGCGTGCGCGCATGCGCATACATATATATAATATGATATATATACACTCGTAGACTAGTTTGATACTTTGAATCTTTGGATGATTGAAGTATTTGAGTATTTCATATTTGAGTATTTTTAATTTTTAATATTGTTTTAATGTTTTTTTTTTTAAAAACCATTGTTTTGATGTTATGACTTATGAAGTATCATTAATTCATTTATTTGGACGAGTTATTTGATTAAATGTTGAAACCAACCTCATTAAAATTGCAAACTGCAAGTCTACACTGTTTTTTTGGCGCCCGCCTAGCGCCGCCTAGATTCCGCATAGACTGCTTAGGCGCTAGACGCTGTCCGGACGCCCGACTAGCGCCTAGCGCCTACTGCAACCATGGTTATGTTCATCAATTTATTTACAAATACGTAAACTGTTAACTACAAATACACAATTTGAAATTTATTTTGAACTAAGGTCCACAATGTAAGGTAAACTCTGGTCCACTATATAATTTGTGGGAAATTATGATGGGGAAATGTGCCCACTTTGCAAGGTGGGCACAGTTCCGAAAACGACGCCGTTCTAATTTAAAAAAAAAAAAAAAATTGTTTTTACTTGTCGTTAACAGCGTTTCTCTCTTCACAATCGCACAATTTAAAACTTATGAATATATTGTATTTAAATTATGAATCTACAGTATAGAAATTATGAATATACAGTATTAGATTTGTGAACATGTGATAGAGCTATATGTTCATAATTTTATAAAGGAAAAATTACATCTTTAGTCCCTGAGTTATAATCAAGTTCCGATTTAGTCCATAAGTTATGACCGTATCCGAGTTTAGTTCCTCAGTTATGAGTGAAGTGGCGAGTTTAGTCCTTAGCCTTAATACTCCGTATGCGGCTAACGAAAAACTTAAAAACAATTTAATAATAGAGGGGTAAAATATGAATTTCAAATTATAATCCCCTTCTTATGTTGAAACCCATTGTGCAATAGTCATTCTTTCTTCTTATACTTACCATCGAAGGTCTTTTTCTTCCCCAAGATTGAAATCTCAAATTCGTCCACTTTCAAGCTACGAAATTCACAGGTAAGTTGTTTATCTATTTTATATGTTTAAATAAATAATTAATATTTTCTGTATTGATGAATTAGTTTAGCCATTAATTATACGATGTCATCTCTTAGTTGTGGTACTTCATCTTTCTCCCAAATTGGAGATAATTTTTTTATGTAGATGTGATGATTTATTACCCATCAAAATGTCATGGAGTTATGTTAATCGAGGGAAAAGATAATAAGCTTGTCCATGTTATGGAGCACATTTTTGTACTTGTAAAAAAATTTGTAATTGAAGTTGTTTTTTTTTTTTTTTTTAAATAGACTGGAAATATTGAAATTTGATTTTTTAGAAAAAACGGGAGTAGGGTTTCTTCACTGATTACATAAGCAACTTAGAGCTTTTGTCGATTTGAGGAAAAGTATTTTGGCTAAGTTTACAAGTTTTATTAAGGAATTTACTTCTTTATCCCTGGAATTAATTTTGTCAACACACCACTAGCGTCAATGACCAAACTCGCCACTTTGCTCATAATTGAGGGACTAAACTCGGATACGGCCATAACTTAGAGACTGAGTCGGAACTTGATTATAACTCAGAGACTAAAGATGTAATTTTCCCTTTTATAAATATATATTCATAATTATAGAGCTATATGTTCATAACTTTCGATGTTCATATTCTCAATTGTTGAACTCTGTATTCACAAATCACAGGACTATATGTTCATAATTTGATAACTATACAGTTTAGAAATTATGAATCTACGTACAATACAGAAATTATGAAATCTACAGTACAGATATTGTGAATCTGCAGTATAAAAATTATGAATCAACTGTATAGAAATTATGAATCTATTGTATTTAAATTATGAATCTACGATTTAGAAATTATAAATATACAGTATAGATTTTATAAATTTCCAATATAGAAATTATGAATCTACAATATAGAAATTATGAAGGATCACAGTGCCACTAACGACACCGTTACTCAACCACATAAAAACGGCGTCGTTTGGAACCGTGCCCACCTTGCAAGGTGAGCACGGTTCCACATCATAACGCTCCGTAAGGTAAATTCTGGTCTACGATATAATTTGTCAGAGGAAATTTCAATTTTGGTCATATGACTATAGGGGTCTTGTTAATTTTAGTCCATGACTTTCAAAAGTGTCAATTTAGTACCTTAACTATGCAATTTTTGTCAATTTTGGTCACTCCGGCCAAATTGTCGGCCAACTTTCGCCGAAAAATTTTAATAATTAAAATAATGAGGATATTTTGATCGTTTCACGCCTCTTTTCTTCTTCTCCAGCGAGTCCATCCCTTTCTCTCCCGTTTCCGGCGTTCTTTTTCTCTGTAAACCCTATCTTTAATATCATCAAGCCTCCTTTCCCTATCGTCTTAGTTCATTGCATTCGTCGGAAATTCGAGAGGACGGGATGAACTCGCCTGGGAAGAAGAAAAGAGAAGTGAAATTATCAAAATACCCTCATTATTTTAACAATTAAAATTTTTCGGTAGAATTTGGCTGACAATTTGG